TAAAAGCAAAAGTATGGTTAGCAATAAAAGCAAAATAAAAACAATTGAAGGTTCTGGTTTGCGTAGATCCTGACATGTCCGGTGGTAGCAGCAGCCGGCTGAGACTGCTGAAAGCCCCAGGCTTCTACTTCAGCCCCAGTGCCGCCAGAGCTGCCACCTCAGGCGAGGAGTGCCACTGTGCAGGGTGACCAAAAGGGCAGAGGTGGGGCGGAGATAGGCGGGTAAAGACTTGGCACAGCCAGCAGCTGCCTCGCAGGGGGCCAGGCCAGACATACCTCATCAGCAGTGGGAGAGAGACAGCAAAGATCAGCTGGGGGTGGCAGGCCAGCGAGCGCAGGGCTGGCAGGGCCAGTGGAGTGCAGGGTGGCAACAAGGCCAGCAGAGCAGGGTGCAGGGTACCAAAGCTGGCAGGGTGGCAACGAGGCTTGGGGCTGAGAGGGACCAAGCCAGGAATCGCTTGGATCAGGGTGGGTCCTCACCTAATGATCAGTGTGATTTGGTTAGCAACAGCGACTGCCAGGATTGTTGTCACTAAGCGATGCAGTCACATGTCACACTTTATGACCATATCACTTAGCAACGGAAATTCCGGTCCCAATTACTGTTGTTAACGGAGGGCTACCTGTATGCTAAGTAAACAGATGATGGATCAGTTTGGTTTGATTTGTTAGGAAGTCCTTGTTGAATTTAATCAAAGTAATATGTTGGACTCAAGTATTGTTGATATCTGACTTTTACTGCATGCGAGGAAAGGTTTAAATTCACACAACTATGTTATTACTGTATGTATATGATTTGTTTTTTTATCTACAGATCCCCAAACTTCAAAAGAGATCTTTGATTTTGCAGTTAAGGCAATAAGTCCACAGGTATATATGGTGTCTCTTCTAATTCCTTCTTAAAAGAAGATTCTCTGATATGTTAAGCAGATCTGACAAGCTATTCTTATTCTGAATCTTTTGAAATTCCAGATTGATTTAAAAAGATACGCAGTGCCTCTTGGTAAGAACTTCTTATTTCTTATGAAATAGTTCTGTGATGACAGAACTCACTTCTGTGATAACACATTGAGCTTGTATTCTTTAGATACTTTGAATTTTAGCTCACATTGTTATCCAGTATAATCAAAGTTTAGGGTAGGCTGACGTATACCTTCCATTTAGAAAAGACATAGCAGATATCTGGGGTTTTTTTCTGCAAAGAAAGATTTAAAAATAACAAAATAGATAGCAATTGACAATTTTGTCGAAAGAAGTTATTCTATAAACATTACTACTACAATCATTCAAAACTGTTAAAATATATTATAAAATCATTTAGGATATAACTGAAACAAAACTTTCAATTTAAATTAAAATGTTTGCTTTACAGCTGGTCTGCATTTATTCAGTAAGCATGCTGTTCAGTTCAGCACTTGTCTTTTAGACAATTATGACTTACTGTTTCGAACAATGTCCGACTGGTGTGGCCACCAAAATGCAGAACTCAAGAAAGCTGGTCATTCTGCACTGGATTCATTTCTTAAACAGGTACAATAAATACAGCTGTTAACTCAAGACATGGTTGAATTCCTAGAATGTAAATACTATAGTGGAACAGTCTACATGTAAGTTTGGTTGTAACTAGTAAGAAATGAATTATGCATGCTGCCTCTAGCCTGGCATACATTTTAGAAGGTGGGAAGGGCTTTAGATCCAATGAATTCAAAATTTTCCAAAATCTGCCGAAGGTAGCCATATTTTATCTTTTTGTATATATCAAATTTGTCACCGCCCATCTTGTTGAAAAGAAACTTTCCTTCCTTTTGTGTTCGTCAATGTCAGATTGATTTCAGAGGTGCAAGGGTCTCAGAGGTTTCCATGAGGGCATGGGGAAGTCATCCAGAGTTTATTCTGCCTTTTGAAGGCAGATTTCTCTCTCACTTCTTAGAGCAGTGTTTCTCAACCTTGACTACTTTAAGCTGTATGGACTTCAACTTCCAGAATTAAAGTAGTCAAGGTTGGGAAACACTGTCTTAGAGGATATCTGATTTGATGGCCGGTAGGATTGTAGGCTTCTTTTAAAAGTTTTATTATGTTACTTTCAGACCACAGTTTCTTGTTCCTTCAAAAGTATTAACATTTTATTACATAATTCTGGGAAACAATTAAATAGCAATTTTGATGGTAGAAATATAAATGTAAGACTGTTCAAAATATTTGAATATTCAAATGATAAAATTGCTAGTTTTATGTATAATGTTTAGGTTTCATCAATGGTTGCCAAAAATGTTGAAGTGCATAAGAGCAAGCTACACTTCTTTATGGAACAGTTTTATGCTATCATCAGAAATATGGATGCTAGCAACAAAGAACTGTCCATTGCTATTCGTGGTTATGGACTATTTGCAGCGGTATGTAGTTTTCTTCATGATATAAAGGTATTTTGAAGGAATGCAGTGCTAGAAAGGGGAATAAAGTCTTATTTTGTGTATTTGGCAGATCATTTTTTGTAGAAATCTTGTTAATTCCTATGCTGTGCTAAAAGTAAAATTCCACTTGACTTGAATACAGAGTTTAGGAACATTGCAATCAGGGAGGTATTTTTTAATTAAGAAATTTCCCTCTTTTCTTTAAATTTAGTTCCCTTTGTGCACAAAATAATTAAGATTACTGAATGAATTTTGAACTTGTTCCTTGATAGTTAGAGCTAAAAAATGGATAGTCATGAAGGCGTTTTATAAAGATTTTAATTTGGGTAGAAGACACATAGGTGCCTTCTGTTCCGACCTGTAGTTTTTTAACTGGCTTCAGGAGACTTATCTAGAAAGCCTTTTCAAATAGTTCAGGATGCTCTTGATTCCTGTACTCCCATGTTTGGGCATTCATTCTATTCATGCAGCTATTTTTGGATCCAAGCCAATATTATAGATCCAAGGTTATATTAAACATTTTGATTATGCAGAAGGTTGACAGAAAAAGTGGTATTCTTTGGGTATCCTGTTACATCCCAATACAGTTCCTTTATGTAAATAATTTTGAAATTTGCACATAAATATTACTAAATATTTAACGCAATATCAGAATGCCAGAGAAGAATTCCGTATTTGATAGGCAGATGTTTTGAGCAAGTTGTGTTAGAGATTTCTTTGTGTGACTCCCTGGATTTTCTATTTATCATATTATTTCTACTGAATATTTTAACTAGAGATATGCAAAATTTGTTGATTTGTGACAGAACATTTCAAAGAAGTCAGACCATGTGAAACTTCTTCTGGACCATCTCCATTGATGAGTAAGTTAGTAGTTTCTGAAGGAATTTCACATGGTCCGTAAGAGAAGTGAAACAATCCAGAGTTGTGCGCTCCCTAATTAATGAATTTTGCATATTCCTAACTTAACCTATATAATCTTAATATTTGTATTTTTCTCCACTTAAAGCCTTGTAAAGTTATCAATCCAAAGGATGTTGACTTCATGTATGTTGAACTCCTTCAGCGCTGTAAGCAAATGTATCTTACTGAGGCAGAAACAATTGATGACCATGTGTATCAGCTACCAAGCTTTCTTCAATCCATTGCAAGTGTTATATTCCACTTGGACACTGTAAGTAAGCGGTTTAAACCTAATTTGTGAGGCTGTTTGTATTTTCAGATCAGGAAATATATGAACCTCTGTTGATGAAGGTACTGTTATAAAAAAAAATTTTCTGGTTGAAAAAGACAACAAAAAAGGTTTTTCACTTGAAAAATAATTTTAGAGAACATGCAGTTGCTATCTTCTAATATCCTATTCTTCTTCTTCTAGATTCCTGAGGTATACACTCCAGTTCTTGAACGTCTTATAGTAGTTCAAATAGATAGTTTCCCACAATATAGTGCCAAGATGCAAACTGCATGTTGTAAATCTATTGTAAAAGTATTTTTAGCTTTGGCAGCAAAAGGCCCTGTACTGTGGAGTTTTATGAGCACTGTCGGTAAGTATTCAATTGTGTAGAAATGTGTATAGCTCCTTTTACTTCAGCATGAGTTTAGGTTTGATAATATTATAAATTTAAGGAAATAGTGGGATAGTAAGCTTAGGAATTTCCTGATAATTGCTATTTAACTTTTGCAGCAATTGAGATATGCTATTACATTTAATTTCCTCAAGTTTTGCATCTTGTAGTGCAAGCCTTCAGCTTGGATTATAACCTCTGGAACAGCTTTCCCCAACTCACATCATGCTCTCCACCTTTTTGGAAGACATTACTTCACTGAATTTGAAATTTTTAAAAAATTTATTCCTCCATGACCATAATGGCCTAAATATTAGTTTTCACTTATTTTTCTCTTCCTTGTTCCTGTAACACAAAGGCCTCTTGTACCCATTGAGCAAACTTGGAATTATATGTGAACTAGGACACTATGGCTTGCTCAGCAAACTGTGATTTTAAAATCTTGGCTTAGAGTTATGTACCAATTCCAGTTTCTAATGCTATTGTTACAGTTTTCTTTTGTCTCAGGAATTTTCCTTTGTTAAGAGCTAGCAGATAAGGGTTCTCCCTCTTTCCATCCTAGTTTAGTTTTACTTAGGCTAGGCTCTGGATGGGAGGAGGACAAAGATTTATTACCAGTAAGACTCAAGGTCAGCAACCACCTTTTTAACCTTTTATTTCCTTATGATCTGGGCAGTAAGAAAGGGGCAGGCTTTTCGTTATCTGCAAATAGGGTGATTGATATAGTTAGGAATTAGCAGTTGATTAGTGGGAAGGGAACAACGAATGAAGTTGATAGTCTGGCAAGTAAAGTAGATACAGGAGGATTTATGCACATTCCATGAGTTGCCATCCAAAGGGGCTTAGAACTTATATAAAAACAATGATAATGGCCAGTTCAGCATGATAAAGGGTGCTGTGAATCTTAGTTCAATTAACAACTGGACAATTTTAAGACACCCACTCCTGGTCTCGGTTCATCATTGGCAATGTGAAAAGGAGAAAGAGAGTTTTGAGAAGTTTTTCATTTTTCTTTGAGCTCAGTGGCTAGTGCAAAGTTGTGATATCCTCAGTCTAAAAACATAGGTAACTTGGAGTAAATACACTCCTTTTATCCCATCTAGATTTCTGTGCTGTTCCTTGTTTCAGTTTTACGTGTACTCTGTATGTTGGATTTTGCCAAGTTGCAAAAGTGTCTCATGAAATGGGTGCATATTTAGGCCTCAGAGAAATACAGCAGATTGATCATTGAAACAGCTGCTGGCTCCTTTCTGTAGTGGGAAGATAGAATTTTTTGTTGCATTAGAGCATTAGCAGTGTTTAATTGAGGCTAGCTTGTTGAAATACTAAATTAAAACATTAAACTATCTTCATTTTCAGTGCATCAGGGTTTAATCAGAATCTGTTCAAAACCACTGGTCTTTTCAAGGGTAAGTTCACTGGGGTTTTGTGGAATTTAAATGTGTATTTACAGAATTCAAAAAGTATCAGCACTCTAGCATTTATTTGTAATTTAGGGGCCCTGTTTTATGAATTGCAAGTTTTTTTCTCCCTTACCAGAAGATTTTGAACATGGCTTGACAAAGAGCTTGCCTGCTACAGGTAGTCCTCACTTAACAACCATTCATTCAGTGACCATTTGAAGTTATGGTGACACTGAATGAATGGTAGTTATGTCCAGTCCTCAAAGCTACAGCCATTACAGCGCCCCTACAGTCATGCAATCAAAATTTGGGTACTTGGCAATCAGCCCACATTTATGACAGCATGTAATTCAACTTCCCCCACCTGCCTATCTCTCCCCCCATGTCTGCAACCTTTGCCCAGGGAGCCACTACCTGCACCACTACCCTGGCTCCTCCACTGGCTCCATCCCGCTGCTGCCTCGACCCGCTCTATCCCACTATCTCTTCTACGTGCTCCATCCTGCTGCCTCCTCCCCTGCCAGACCCAGCAATTTCCTTTTGGCAGGTGAGGCCCTGCTGCCCTTATGCATTTGCCACATACGTCCCAGGGTCACACCCTTGCCCAGTGCCTAGATCCTGGGCGAGCAGCAAGAGGAAAAAGACAGCACAAGGTCAGTTGCGGGTAGCAAGGGACAGCAGGGGTAGGCAACAGATTGCAGGGCAGCCAAAAGGGTGGAGATGGGGGGAGATGGGTGGGTGGAGTTGAAACACATTGTAGTTGTAAATGGGGGCCTGTCAGGTTCAGCCCAAAGAACTCCAAGAGACAATGCAAATACAGTTCTACTGTGTTTATTAGCTACAACCTCCAGACAGAAAATCTCCCCAGACTGAACCTTAGTTCCCAAGCCAGCCAGCCACGACACTGTGAATTCCTTAGGGAGGTGCCAGCCTCATCTTCTTGAACTTCCCACGCTCTTGATGATGAAGCGTGCCAGGTCTGGCCCTATGCAGGGCAGCTGCTGGCCACACCAGGCCTTCTTCCTGAGGTCGCTGACCATTCTCACATTGCTTCAGAAGGCCTTCCAAAAGCACTGCAAGAACGGTGAGCGGCCTTGGAAAGAAGGCCCAGTGTGGCCAGCAGCTGCCCTGCATAGGCCCAAACCGGGCATGCCTTGTCAGCAGCAGGAGGGAGACGGCAAAGGTCAGTTGGGGGCAGCAGGCCAGCAAGCACAGGGTGGCAAGGCCAACGAGCTCAAGACAGCAGAGCAACAGCAAAGATCAGCTGGGGGCAGCAGAGCAAGCGGAACGCAGGGCAGCAAGGCTGGAAGGGTGGCAGGGCCAGTGGAGTACAGGGTAGCGGCAGCAGCTGAGGTTTTGTGCTTTGGCATTGGGGTGTCTGGCCATGGCACGGGGCTTAAGCTGGCAGTTCTCAGTGGCAGCAGCAGTGGGGCTGAACTAGAGGCCCGGGGACAGTGGTGGCTGGGCTGCAATTGCTGAAGACCCTGGGCCTCTACTTCAGCCCCAGCACCATTGCTGCTGGCCAAAAGGGCAGAGGTGGAGATAGGCAGGTGGGGGGAGTTGAAGCATCCCTGCAGTCATAAGTGCGGGGCAGGCTACCAAGCTCTCTTAATTTTGATCATGTGACCACGGGGACGTTGCAGCAGCCATAACTTTGGGGACCAGACGAAAGTACTGTTCGTTCAGCGCCACCATAACTTCAGTCACTGAACTAATGGTTGTAACTCTGGGACTACTTGTTTTCAGTTTATAATCTTCATTTACTTATATGTTAACTCAAACATCTTGATTTCTGTGGCAAGAAACGTAGATAGGAATACCAGCAGATATATTGAGAACCGTTGAGCTTTTCTTAGTTAATTTGAAGAACTTTATACTGTACCAGGTATATGTTTCTGAGGTGAGGGCATTTCATAGAATATTTCAATATATCTTGGCAAAATGTTCCTGCCTATCTGTGTCGCAGGAGTCTAAGATTAATGATTGATGACTACATCACTTTATTTAGTTACTTCAATATTGTGGTGTCTTTCAGGATTTTTCGGAGAAGAATATTTCCAACTCAGAAGAACCAAATTCATTTGGAGAAGTAAGGGCTGGGAAATGGAAGGTGCCTTCATACAAGGATTACTTGAATCTCTTTAGAAGCTTACTTAGCTGTGATACGATGAAGGTAAAGAAAAACATTACCAAGGCTAAGAATATTAATTAATACGTTGTTATGAGTCATGATAGTTTCTCCTAGAGAAAACTATAAATAGTTTTGTCTCCTGGCTCACATTTTCTTTCAGTCCCTCCTCCTTTTCAGAGATCATAATTGTTAAAACTCTTCTTTTTCCTCATGTCCTGTTCAGTGTTTGTGCTTCTGAGGTCTCATACAGGTGTTAGACCAAACTAGCTGGGCATGAACACAGATGGCCTCTGCAGTGCTTTTATATATGCAGCTGTCTTGTTAAATCCGCCACATTGTAAACAAATATTGGAATACAGTGCCATAAATATATTTGACCAAAGGAGCTAGAGGACTGCTATGTTTGGGATTTCTATATATATATCACTTATTTAATCTTTGTATTTGCTGATAAATTTGCAAATTTAATATAGTGTGCAGTTCAGGAGTTTTCTTTCTTTTTTTCCTTCTCTAATTAAGGACATCACCTTGGCAGATGAAGCCTTTCTAATTGAAAATTCACCACTACAGTCTCTAAATCGTCTGTTATATGATGAACTCATAAAATCTATCATAAAAGTAATTGATAAGCTGGATCTTACAGTTCAGAAACAGAACATTAATGAAGAGAAGGTAGAACTTACTTTTAAAAAATAAATATTAATACAGAATTACTCTTTTTTTCTATATCATTGTATGCATTATTGGATTTTTATTCTTATTTGAGAAGTTTGCAAGAATTTTATAATAGACCTTTGGCAAACTTGTAAATCACTTCCAAAACTGCTTCTGATACTCTTTTCTCAGGATGGAAGTGAAGGTGATATTCATCTGACAATTCCTACCTCTGATCCAGCTGCAAACCTTCAGCCATCTAAGCCTAAAGACTATACAGCCTTCATTAACTTAGTGGAGTTTTGCAGGTATAATAAGACTAAAGAAACAGAATATGTGTGAGATGCATTATTTAACGTACTGTGGTTTTACTATTCTTTCTAGAAGCCAGATCCTGGCAAAGCTTCAAAAATGTAACATTTACTTATTAAGGATTTTTTAAAGTAGTTGAAATAGTTGCATTTGATTCTGCGGTGGAATGGGGCATTCTAGGTGGGGGTTTACTGAGAACTGTTTTAACTGTTCATTGGTCATGTCCCCACTTTCCAATGTAATCGTTTTTGTTGCTGTTTCTGTACTTTTGCAGAGAGATCCTTTCAGAGAAGCATATTAAATACTTTGAACCATGGATTTATTCATTTGGTTATGAGCTGATTATACAGGCAACACATTTACCTTTAATTAGTGGATTTTACAAGCTGCTGTCTATTGCCATGAAAATTGCAAAGAAGACTAAATATTTTGCGGTGAGAGAGCCATTGCAGGATTTTTTTTTTTTAATTTGTCCAAAGGATCACTAAAGTTGTGTTGGTCTGTGCATGCCTTCATGTTTTAGATATAATTGCAGTTATTTCATTTTTATAAGAGAAAAGTGGGATTGAGCTCTTCTTCTACCCCAAGTTCTTCTCCCTTCTCCCACTGATTATATATATGGTTTGTATTATTTCTCTACCAGCCCTAACTATGGCTGTTGTTTTGCTCCTAATCAGGATTTGACATTAGTCACAAATTCTAAGTTTGAAGTGAATTATCATGAACATTTGAGACAGAGGAGTCGGCCATGGTTCAGGGCTGAGGGAGGTTAGGTGTGATTCTCATGGTTGATGTATAATTTCTTAACATAGATTAAGGTTTTTATAGAGTTTTATATCAGATGAGAAATATCATTTGGATTTCTACAGTATTCCAATAAAATGTTATTTAAAATTATATTCTGCTATCTTCATTTTCTGAAGGAGTTCGTTACATCCAAAAGCAATAAAATTAAAACACAGCATTACACCCTCTCCTTGTTTGGCGACTACATTCCATTCCAGTGACTTGGTTGTTAAGCAAAATGGTTGCTAAGTGAACACATAACAGAGGGAGAGAGAGCGTGAGAGAGAGACGCTGCAGAGATCACTGGTTGCTGCCCTCTCATTCAGATAGTTCTTTTGGATGGTATTCTGTGCCTGGCCCGTTTTTGTCCTTTTTTTGCCCCCTTGCAGGGCAGAGAGATTGCTTAAACAAGCTATCATTTCCTGAGCTGCTTTTCTACATAGGGCAGCACTTCCCTAAAAAGTGCTAGCCCAAGTTAACAAGCTCAGTAATTAGTTAATTAGAACTGAGCTGCTGCCTGAAACTGACCAAACCTTAATCAGTTTCACACTGAAGGCTTTGTTGTCAGGCATCTGAAATTTGGTTGTAAATACATTGGTCAGAAAATGGATTTTTTATTACCATTTATTACTGTCATATTTGCAAATGGCCACTCACCAAAGTAGTTGCTAAATGAGGAGGGGCTGTATTGGAAATGGTTTTAATTGGGGGCTAGATTGCAACTATTCCCAGGGTCTCATATTGTGATTTTCTGGCTCTGATTTGTTGATTGTATTTTGTTTAGTCATCATCCAAATTACCAAGGGCAATTGTACACTGCTCAGAATTGGCTGTGATTTGAGCTATCTATAAATCCTGTTAAATAAATAAATAGGTAAAGCAGCACAAAAGAAGCTATGCATGTCAATGTGTCATATTACAGTTCTTTGAGTCAGTGGCAGTATTAATTAAAAATTAACGTGAAAGCCCTTGAGGTAGCCATTGTGTGCGTGCCTTGTGGTAGAGATGCCTTACAGCAATATTTCTCAACCTCAAAAATTTTATGCTTAAACTTTAAAAAATTAAAATTTAATTTAATTTAAATTGTAAGCATGCTGAGGTTGAGAAGAACTCTATTATAGAACATATGCCAAAGTTGAGAAGACCTTGCCTTTCACTGAGGCCTCATTCAGTCTTCATCAGTCTTACCTCCTCATATGTTTTTCAGGGATTTGAAAGTATCATTGTATATGTAAGCAAATGGTCCTTTTGATATGCTTGCTGTAAGCTTTCTTAGGGCTTTATAAGTTAACATCAACATTGGAATTGTACACAGAAATAAATTAGAGGCCAGTATAATTCATTTAAAAATGAGCAAAATTGCTAAAAACATTTAACTATATTCCAAACCAATTCCAACTTCCAAACAGTCTTCAAAGGAAATGCCATATAAAGGACATTGCAGTAATCTTTGAAACCTACACAGAACTTTTGTTTGGTACATAGAATTGCCTAATATTTTTTACATTATCCAAAAGGTTCTTTTAAAACATAAAACATAAGATTAACAAAATCTGTACAGTTAATTGTATTTTTTTCTTTTGCCAGGGTGTCAATCCAAAGAGTAAAAAAAAATGTCCTGAAGATCCAGAGAAGAGTTCCTGTTTTGCATTATTTTCCAAGTTTGGAAAAGAGGTTATTTCTGTGATCATGCTTTGAAGTGCGCTAGTAGCATTTAGAGAGATAAAAAAAGGCAAAGAATTCTAACTTCATTGCCTTTTCATTTATCATTTTTCTTACTTTAAAAGCCTGACCTGTTGATTTTAGTTAAAAGTTAGTTAGTTAGATTATCTGAAAAGAATATTGTTCCTATTTTTTGAAGAACAGTGAATTATTTGTGACTATTATTTATTTATTTGTTTGTTCAGATAATATCTATGCTGTTTACATTAAAATTTCTTCTTACCTCAGGTAACTGCAAAAATGAAGCAGTACAAAGATGAGTTATTAGCATCCTGTCTGACTTTTGTGCTTTCCCTGCCATGTGACATCATCATGCTTGATATTAAAGCATATGTTCCTGCTTTGCAGGTGGGTTAATATTGTGATTGAATAACACAGGATTTTTATTTTTTTGTAATTTTGTTGGAATATTTCCTTCATTTCACTTATACGAAATACCTTCACATATATATCTTCAAATATCTTCACATAAGTGAAATTCATATACAGTGGTATCTCTACTTACGAACGCCCCTCCTTACGAATTTTTCGGGATACGACCAGCTCCAGCCCCAAAAAATTTACCTCTATTTACAAACTCACCTCGACTTATGAACCGGATCCGCTGCCATTTTCCGCCCGTTCCACGTGGTCCGCAGCCATTTTTCCGCCCTGCTGCGTGGTCAGCGGCCGTTTTTCCGCCCCTGACACGTGGTCCGCAGACGCTGGAACGGATTAATGGTAATTACATTGAACCTTATGGAAAAATTTACTTCGACTTGTGACCAACGCGACTTGCGATCAGAGTCACGGAACGGATTAAGTTCATAAGTAGAGGTACCACTGTATTTCACTTATACAAAATATCTTTTCTTGATAGTGCAATAATGCACATGCAGGACTGCAGCCTTCCTTGTATTTTCATCACAGCAATGAGCAAATGAATGACAAAGGCCAAAATGTGAATGACAAATTTGTACACCTGTTACGTGTGGTTTTGTAGTTTTATTGTCTCTATTTGGTTCTGTGATTTTTTTATCCGTACCTTAGTCCAGCAGAAGTCCCTTAAAAACTTTAATACTTTAAATATTTGTAGCAGTAGTTAATAAAATACTTAATTGTGCAGTCAGAGATAACTTCAGGAACATATGGATGTTTTATATCTCCAAACTTCTGACCCTTGAGTTTATGCACACCCTACAGAATGCTTTTAAGCTGGGTCTTAGCTACACTCCAATGGCTGATGTGGCATTGGATGCACTGGAGGACTGGTCATCCCACATTCCCAGATATACCATTCAGCCTTATTACAAAGACGTCGTGCCTTGCCTTGATGATTATTTGAAAACTTCTGCATCAGCAGGTAAAAGTGATATACATCAGATATTATTTAATTACAGTAGTAAATATAGGAAGATGAAGATTTTTTTAGAATCATTCATGTGGTACTGAATAATCTTGGAGTGAGCAACTTCTGAGGGGTAAAGGGCTGTAATTCAGCTTCCTGATCTTCTGTAGGACTGCTAGAGGCTATCTATAGTAGCATTGATGGAAGGTGTGTGTAGCTGATCATCTATGGTGTATTTGGGGAGCTTTGAGAGGGTTTTAAACTAGTTTCCTGAAAAATTAAACACAGAACTTGTGTTAAGACTTATTTTATTGCTTGCATAAAATGTTCTAGAGCATATCTGCTTTCCAAAATATATTAAATTCTCAATTATATGGGGTTTTTTTCTTTAAAATAGATGAATCTCAGAATACTTGGGAAGTGAAGAAACTTTCCAAGGCCATCCAGAAAGGAAGGAACAAAGTAGTGATCCAGCATCTGAAAAAATCAAAGAATCTCGAATTGGTAAAGAGTTTTCCTGCCCTTCTAAAATACAGCTTTTAAGTTAGAAAAGTGATATGTAGGTTTTCTTATTTAAATAAAAGAGCTAGTTTTATTTATTATGTACGTAAGTTTTGAGTAGAACTTACATATAATATCTAAGAATTTCTCAGTAATCCATCAGTGTCCTCACATTAGACTTCATTGATAGTAATATAATTCCTTTGTGTGGTTTACTACAATCATAAGACAAATGTAACCTACACAGCAAGCTGAAATTCAGACAACCGGTGCAAAATATAGTTGATAATGGTGGGAAGATAAATGCCCTACATTAATCAGACCAGTATTGAGTTCAGTAGTCTACGCTCAATAGCACTGAATTAGTTTGAAAATTATACTAATTATGAAAAACTGTGTTTTTATTAATGCAAGAACAGTTCCATTAGATTAGAGCAAGGCTCAGTGTAGTCCTTTATCCCTTTTCCCCCCAATGCCTGTTTCCTCTTCAGAAAGCGCTCCAGGTATCAAGAATTTTTCACATTAATTTCTGTCTTTATCATGAATTACACTAATTCTAAGTACTGAAGTTCTATTTGTATATTTTATTATGCTTGACAATCCTTACTTTTTGTTGAGAATAAAGTATTTCAATAATTAAACAAGATACAATAATTAAAAGGTTTGTAAACTATAAAGTGACAATGTTAAGCAAATTAACAATACTTTTATAAATAATACATTTGTTTCTAGAGCAATCATGAACAGTCAACCTTGACTCTGGAGCCTTTAAAAAGGCAGTCTAGACCTGGTTCTTTCCCCAGGCTTTTGAGTCTGGATGAGTGGAGCAATTGGATATAACATAGAATATTTTTGTCACCATTTTATAGTTCAGTTCGTTTTTAAGGTATTATGTTGTTTCTCTTGGTTTACATTTGTTGTTTATGTCATCCCGTTCCGTACAACTCGCAGAATCATGTTGTTTGAGTTAAGCAGCCATAAAAATGATATAAATAAATATTTATACAGATAGTCCTTGCTTAATGACCACAGTAAGGACTGGAAAATTTGTCACTAAGTGGGTTGATCATTAAGTGAAGCATCATTGACTGCACCCAGTTTTACAACTTTTTTGCAGCGGTTAAGCGAATCACTGCAGTCGTTAAATGAATCATGTGGTTGTTAAGCAAATCATGCAGTTCCCCGTCGATTTTGTTTACTGGAAGCCAGCTGGGAAGGTTGCAAATGGTGATCACGTGACCCCAGGATGCTGCAACTGTCATAAGAGCAAGCTGGTTGCCAAGCACCCAGATCGTGATCATGTGACTATGGGGGCACTGTGACAGTTGTAAGTGCAAGGACTGGTCATAGGTAGCTTTTAGTGCCGTCGTAACTTCAAATGGTCGCTAAATGAATAGTTATTAAGCAAAGACTACTTGTATGTGTTTAGTAGGATCCATTCAGTTCAATATACCTTACCTCCAGATAGGCTAAAATCCCATCCACATAAAGTTGCATCAGCTGGATTGATCCTGCAATATCCAAAATCAAAAAACATTCCATTCTACCAAAATCAAAGGGTAGTATTCTCTTAAAAGGTTTCAGAATTTATTATCTGAAGGCCAAAGACAATTTTATAGAACCATTTCTGTTGCAAATTTAAGATGTTCTTCTGGGAATATTTGTAGGATCCAGGAGTTTCTGACAAAGGAAACTACTGCCGCATTGGTACATGCTTTGGTTATTTAGGCCTCAATTACTATGATAGCCTTCTGGCAGGGGTTCCCAATTTGTTTCTCTGTCCCTGATCTTACACCAGAATAGCGCATTTGGGGTTGTTTTAAACCTCCCACACTGTTCTTGTGTCTCATTACGTTGTTGTTATTGTTTAGGAGGAAGATCCATCTTTAGAAGCAGTAAGAGCTAGAGTTGTACGTCTTCTTGGAACTTTGGGAGGACAAATCAATCGGAATTTAGTTACAGGTAGGAATTTTATTTACATGCTTTTATATTGTTTTTTCTTGTTTTACATTGTACTGTTTTTGCTGTTTTATATTTGTTTTAACTGTTTGTAAGCTGCCCAGAATCATACACTGTATATACTCAAGTATAAGCCCATCCCAGATAAGCCGACCCTCAAATTTTTAACCTAAATATCATGAAAAATGTGCCGCCCACAGGTAATATTTTTGTATGTTTTAATTTTCACAATTGGCTTATCTGTGGGTGCCACATTTTTCATGGTATTTTGGTTAAAAATTCGAGGGTTGGCTTATCCACGAATGGGCTTATCCACAAGATATATGGGTACTTCAAAAAAAGCTGAGGGAAAAACCTACTATATACTCGTGGATAAACCCATCCATGGATAAGCTGAACCCAATTTTGGGGGTGTATTTTGGCACTTAAAGTTCTCAGCTTATCCATGAGTATATATGGTATATAAAATGGGTGGCTATATATATTTGAGTAATAAATAATTACAAGTATCATGCCAGCTGTGTCTGCTACTGAGTCAATCAACTTTGATAGCAGTTATTCACACCCTGGTTACTTCCTATAAAAACACAGTGTATCCTGTGTAAAGAAAAGATCTGGAAGTTGCAGTTGGCGCCAGGTTTGGCAGATATGCAGCTAAACAGTGCAAGGTATAAAGGTCATATAATTCTTGCACTGAAAAATCTATACTCATTTTGTTTTCTTTCATGCACAATTTATTATTTAATAAATTATTATTTAATAAATTTATAGGCCGCCCATCTCATATACACTGTGTGCACAATTATTAGGCAGTGAGTATTTTGACCATATCATTTT